GGGGGAGAGGAGTGTTGGAAAAATATGTAGAACGGTATAAAATACGTATAGGAATGCCATGCATACAGAATATAGGTGCTCACAGCAACTGAGTGGAGTACGAAAGGCGATGGCACAGTGGTCTAGCATATCGGGTCCGGATGTGAAGACGGATGGTTCAATTCCCTATCAAGACATAACCATTTTCAAAAAGAGGTTCCACTTTGCGAGACCATCTCTTTATGACGGGATACCACCAGTTCCACATACGTCGGATATATAAAAACAGTGGAAAGAATTAACCAATTTCTACACTTTGACGCTCATCGGAAGACACTCTTTTTCTGAACGCACGTTAAAGTGTTTTTTTTTTTTGAGGCGCATTTGCTTTGAACGAACATTGTAGATGATCTGGATGTGGATGTGTGCTGGTACATCGGTGGCAGGACAGCAGTTTGTGGCGGTCGATATCGTTATTGGCGGAAAGGCTTTCAGTGCTATCTTGAACTATTTGACTGTGATGTTACGGATGCGGGCTATATAACTTGTAACGTAAATACTATAAGCTGCACCGCTTCTGACAGCACCTTCCTAAGGGTTATTGGTAAGCGTCGACTTTTCAGTTTCTGAATTACAGCCCAGTTAGGAATGAATCCACGCATTTTCTGATTTTTGATTTGATAGCGGGAAGCACAAGAGAAGATGAGATATATTCATGATTTCGAAGGATCTGGCGTAACTGCGTCCAGTATATAGAAATACCTTAATAACACCACTAGTATGAGATAATCAAGGGAGATCTTAATATTTGGGGTAGACATTATTTCTAACTTATGACAATCTTTTGTCTTATTTAAAGACTGTGACATTGCATGCGATGAACCAAATTTTGTCGGACAATTGAAGTCTGAAGAAATTAATGGTCGCTTATACCTAACATGTGCAGTATCTGGTTATCCTATGCCATATGTAATATTTCGTTTGCGAGACCGTCGCCTCAAGGCTGACCGACGAATAGGTATGTTTTGTGGGTTATTAAGGGTAAAATCACAAGAAATTAAAAAGGGATACTCTGAATCAGATGGTACTCAGACTGGTGGAATTAGAAAAACGAGCGTTAAGAGGAATTTGTGTTGTTATCGTGCAATAGCTTAAAGGTTTGACTCTATCGA